GAGAGAGAGAGAGAGAGAGAGAGAGAGAGAGAGAGAGAGAGAGAGAGAGAGAGAGAGAGAATGAGAGAGAATGAGAATATAAAGGGCAAAGGCCATGACATCATCTAGACAAGGAGGGGAAAGACAGGAAAATTCTTCCCATGCTAGAACAGATGAGACGTTCTCGTGCCAATAAAGGACGGCTTTAAAACCAGCCTACAGCTAACATCATACTAATGATAGGAGACTTGATGTGTGTCCCCCCCTCTAAGGTAAGGTCTCAGCCAGGACAGCCAGATTCAAAAGCAAGAAGGAAAAACTACTTGTTTCCCGGGACCATGATCTTGCACACAGGAGACGGTAACAAAGCCAGTGAACTAAGGAAGGATGTCAGCCAGGCTGTAGGGTAGAAGCTTAAACACCTGAAAGGTCAAATACCTAAATATGCTTGCATCAAACCAGCTGCTAATGAGATGACAAGTCCACTCCAATACCGAAATATTTAAACAGGGAAGAGTAAATGAACCAGGCTGGGAAGATGGGTCAGCAGTCCACAGCACTTGCTGCTCTTGCAGAGAACCACGGTTTGATTCCTGGTACCCACATCAGGTGGCTCACACTACTTGTCATGCCAGCTTCAGGGGAGCCAATGCCTTCTTCTGGCCTTGGTAAACCCACACACACATGTGCACATAAACACACACATGCACACATACACCTAAACAACAGTAAATCTTTTTAAATTCAACCAAAAAATTGCAAGCATATACATATATATATATATGTATGTACACTCTGAAAATTCCAACCAGAGTTGAAAAAATTAAAGAGATAGCCAGAAAATACCACTTGCCTAACATGTATATGAACCTTAATCCCCAATATTTCAGGGGAAAAAATAACAAAGAAAAAATAGGTAGAAAGATATTCCATGTCCATAGATCAGAAAATTTAATATTCCTCTTTGTTTTTCTTATGTATATGCAGATATATATGTACATGTATATGTTATGTGCCTGTGTATGGAGATGTACATTGAATGCAGTACCCATAGAGCCCAATAGAGGGCAGTGGATTTTTCCTGGAGCTGGAGTTACAGGCAATTATAAATCACCTGATGATATAGGTATAGAAACAAAACTCAGGGCTTCCCCAAGAGTGGTATGTGCTCCTAATTGCTAAACCATCTCTCCAGCCCCAGAAGATATAACAGTCTTTTTTGTTTGTTTTGTTTTGTTTTTTGAGACAGGGTTTCTCTGTGTAGCCCTGGCTGTCCTGGAACTCACTCTGTAGACCAGGCTAGCCTCAAACTCAGAGATCTGCCTGCCTCTGCCTCTCCAGTACTGGGATTAAAGGCGTGCGCCACCATCACCCAGCTAGATGTCATATTCTTTAGCTGACTGTTAAGTAAGGCACCCCATGTTGGTCTACAGACTCAGAATAATCACTATTAAAATCCCAGCCAGATTCTTTTCACCAATTGACTATCCCTAAAATTCACATGGAAATTCAAGGGACCCAAAACAAATACAGCCTCAAAGAAAAAAAAAATGTAAGTGGGTAAGAAGTAATTTTTAAATGTGTCTATTTTTGCTTACAAGTAATTTTGTTATCCTTTAAAGCTCTACAATGGATGTGATTTTGACAATAAGTCATGTTTAAGAACACACATATAACTCTTGAGATAATTGAGATAAACCCTCAATAAGCATGTAGCTAAGCTCTCATCAACTGAAAACATGGGCACATCATGGGAAGTTTCACATACTAAGCAAAGCTTTTCCAAGGCTCTAACTCAGGAACAAAGAAAGACCGCATTTGACAGCCAACCCTACCAACAGTGTGGAGAGGAAAGGCCTGCAAATCCCCGTGCTGACATAAACTCAATAGAACAACATGGAATCTTTTCTTCAGAGACTGGAGTTCCACATGTCAGCCAGGAAAAACTTGGTCAAACTGCCCTAGACCCAGGGATGGCTTTTAAATAAAATTCTAAAGGTATACCGCTTGAAAATCTGCAAACTGCTCAGAGAAACAGACAGAAAGAAATAATGCAAACACAAGTGTGATGGCAGATCCCCCCAACAGTGGCCCCCCAGACATGCCTCTGTTTACCATAGGGTGCTACATACTTTAACCCAGACAGAAAATCTTAACTGAGCCAAGAAATTAAGAGTCTTTCTCTTGTCAGATCTAGTTAATGAAACTTCTCTGCTCTGTGCCCATCGTATGTATTAAAGACGCTTCTCAAACAGGTTAAAAAGCCTCAGTGTGGGCTTTGGGAAGCCTCTACCATCCTCCAAGCAGATGTCAGCCGATCACAGGCACTGCACCACGTGATCTACCCCCCGTGTGGCTACCAACAGACAGCCCTGGCAAGGCTGGGGTGAGGCCTGGCCTTTCGGAACCCCTTGTTCTCACTCAGCCGCTGCAAGACGAAACAGTGCTGCGCCAGTCCAGGATTTGGCTAACCACATCTCTGACATGTACTCGTACCTAGAACATCAAAAGAACTGTGGCAACTCAGTAATTAACAGGCAGATGAGAGCAGCCCTTTCTCAGAGCAAACACGCCGGTGACGGGTGTACTTTGCAAAGGTACTCACTAACTGTAAGAGAAACTCCGGCACGCGGCGTGCTAACCGCAGTGCAGCGCGGCACCACTGCACACCCACCAGGAGTCAGAAAGGTGACAGCCGCTGGGACAGACACAGAGGGGCAAGCTCGCAGGCGTGGCTGCTGGGCCTGTCCCATGGTTTGCAGACGATTCTGTACACGTTAAGAGAATTTAAAACAGGTACACACAAAAATTCCTATAACACTGCTCCTGGGAGTCAAAGAGTCCATTCATGCAAGGGTGCGTGAGCTGACAGGCTAGAGAAACAAAACGTGGCATGTTGACAGGCCAGGGTGACATGCTGATGTGATGTGAAGTCCTGCGCGGGGCTCCAAGGATGGGCCTTAGAAACATGACGTTCAAGAAGCCGGTTCCGAAAGACTGCAGTTTATGAAATGTGAGATGGACACAGTCGTCGTCGGCCAGCCTGGAGTGAGAAAGTCAATTGCCACTGCAGGAGCCCAGGGGAGGATGGGGAAACAAACAGGAATGGCAGCTGGGACCACAGAGGGTGTGGAGTTTCTTGCTGGGGAGATGAAAGTCCTACCATGGCCTGCTGTGCTTGGTTGTAGACTCGCTTTTGAAGCTGCTTTTAAAAATTAAACAGCATTCTCAACCGAGTGCAAATTGTTAGTTTTTGTCATTGGAAGAAGATGCTAACCTCGGCACCAAAGTGGGAAAAGCAAGAGAGCGGAATGAAATTAGCCAAAACACTTTGGCTTGAAGGAGGTGCTGGTTGGACGTGCGCACACCATGTTCAGAGCAAGAAAGGGGATGGAGAAAGGAATCGTTGCATTTAAAGGATAGAGCAAAAGCCCAGAAATCTGTCTGCTGCACGTGACGGGGAAGGCCCTCTGTTCTTAATTAGCAGTGAAACAAGCACCCAGAGCCAAAGCAAGCACGCAGAGATGCCCACCTAGCTTCCTCTGGGGAAGCCAAACCTCTTTCCACGTGATGGTCAAACGTACATGCAAGTGGCGGACTTTCTGATGGCTCTGTGAAAGAGGCTTTTTCTGTGGGTCTGGACAACGGTATCGCCTCTGAGGAGGTCTCAGGGGTACTGTCAGTGACCCCCCTCTACCGAGAGCACTACCCCATGAGCTGCCAGAGTCTGTGCTACAAACGAGGGCCAAGTAAAACACGGCCAGGCTCTATCTGGTCTCACAGCTCCTACCAGAGACGTGAAGGTGCAGGCTGTGCGCTGGGGCCTGGTGAGGTAAGGGCTGAGTGTAGGAAGAGCCTCAGCTCCCTGCCTGTCTCCCTTGGTGAGTCAAGTCCATGCTATCCTCACTTAGGGTGGATGCAAAAATGCCCTCCACACTTCCAGGGCTGACTGGCAGCCGCATCCTCTGTTGGTGGCTTTACCGACCTCAGACTCTGACGTGGTCCTAAATGAAATGTGAAGAGTTACTTGCTCACCCCCCACAGCCATATTCCAGTCTGTATCTGCTCCAAGCTCTGCAAACTCAGTCGCAGAACCTTATTCTCAATGTTTTCACAAATGACAGACACATTCTTCCCTACCTCAACAAAAGTTTGACTTGCAGAAGTCATTTTAATATGTCCCCATCTACTTTTCCCACAATTATGCCTGGTACAATGAAATTCAGTATTTCATATCAGGCCCCACTAACCAGTTTCGGCTCAATAATATCAAAGCATTCAACACTAATTTCATTTTTGAGTTTGCTTGTCTTGTTTCAATTACATGCATACGTGTGTGTTTGTTGTGTGGGTGTGTGCATGTGTGCGTGCAGATGCCAGCAGATTCCAGAAGAGGGTTTCAGATTCCCTGGAGCTGGAGTTACAGGCATCTGTTAGCCATGCAACACAGTTGCAGGGAACCAAATTCAGTTTCTCTGCAAAAGCGGGAAGTACTCTTAACCACTGAGCCATCTCTCCAGTCCCCAGGGTTTTTGTTTGTTTGCTTGTTTGTTTTTGAGAGATGTGTTTTTGTTTTTGAGACAGGGTGTTGATACATAGCAGAAGCTGGCTCCTGCCTCAGCCTCCTGAGTGCTAACTGCAGGTGTATACCACCAGGCCTGGCTTGTCAACCTAGCTTTCACCAAGTACAGAAAGTCACTGGCTCCTGTCACAGGAAGCTCTGCCCTGGTGTCGATTTCTCTTTGGAAAGCAAACAAAAAAATTGCTAGCATCTGGGTCCTCGACGCTCTCCACAAGCCCTACTGAGAAACTTAGCAGTGTGGAGACAAGGCCTTGAATCAGACGGTACAAGTGTGCAGACCTGAGGTGACTCCACTTCCAATCTAGACGCGAGATGAAAGCAGCCGGCTTAAGTGGGAAGCCTGGTTTGTGTTCTTTGAGGGAAGCATCTGCTGCTGCACTATTACCTACTCGGCCATTGGTTCTAATTAAGCCAAAAAAAAATTGAACTCATCACAAAATACTTAAGCACTGTAACTAAACAAGTTTCTGCTGGATTAATTACAGAAACCAAGAAGAGAAAGACCCAACCGCTATCACCAAAAAAAAAGCAAGATTTCTTAAGATCACATATACATTCAGGCTTGGTGGCTCACACGTTAGGAGGCTGAAGCAGGAGGATTGTCACTAATTCAAGGCCAGCCTGGGCTACATAGCAAGACCTGTTCGCCAACAACAACAGTAATAGTAATAGTCTATGAAAAAAAGTAATAGGAAATTCCAATCACTGTGGAAAGGAGCGCAGGCCGTAGACTCAGAGCAAAGTCATTATTACCATGAAAGGATTCCAAATCAACAGCATAGGCATGCTCGGTGCATTCAGAGAATTCAAGGCACGATTCTCCAATCATTCACTCCACCATGCTAGGGGGAAATTGCTCCTCTTCACCAGACACATGAAGCAGCGGGGTGCCCCATCAAACAAGGACCAAACAATCATAGGTTTGTCACAGTTCTGATTTAAAGTTACTTAAATCAGAATGTTCCAAAGATCACAATCCAGAAGCCGGAACCATTCATTCACAACACCATGAAAACAAGCACTTGAACAAAATAATGATAACCAAAGGACACTAGGCAGGGAGATCATGTACCTGGGTCAATGAGAACTTCTTGCGCCCCTGGAAGAAAGAACAGATTACGGTCTTTTATTTGGAAAACAAAACCACGTTTAAAGACAGCTGGTAGAACACATTTTACAGTTTGCATATACCCTGAGAAGCCTGGGACGCTCGCATCTGCCGCTCCGGCAACTGTGAGCAGCAAACAGCATGGCGGCACGGTGCTCTTTTGCGTCCGTGAGGAGAACAGAAAATCTGCTGTTAATTGTGTCTGGAACAAACAGGAAAGAGCCCCCTTACCTCTTCCCTTCCTGCTGCTTGCTAAACTCAGGCTCATCACTCTCCTTAAATGAGTTTCAGAAACCCTCGTTTCACCAATAACTCAGTAACAAAAGGAATCTTTTTTTTTTCTTTGCAATTACTATGAGCGCTCCAGACTGAGGCACCAAAGGTCTCAAAAGGAAGTATAGTAATATAATAATAGTCCCCCCAGATCAATCTGTCAATTAATCTCTCTCTCTCTCTCTCTCTCTCTCTCTCTCTCTCTCTCTCTCTCTCTCTCTC